TTCAATGACTTGTATCGCAGTATCACGGGTCGAATGACAGCTGAAGCCCTTAAGGTAAACCATATGTGGTATGCTTACTGGTTTCCCATGCTTGTTCCCTATGACACCCCCACCCCTGATGTAAAAAAAGAAAAAGATAATAAAAAAAGAATATGTGACAGCTTGATATTAACTGTAGTGGAATTTTTGCAGGAGAGGGTTCTGAAAGTTCTTCAAGTATGGGCTGACTGGTTTTTGTTTTCGGATGCTTATGTCAATGGCTTGCGAGCAACTTTTCTTCGATCAGGAAATTCTGGTGTAATCCCCTTTCATTCCTTATGTGGTGATGCCCCTGAGATAGAACAGAAAGGAAGCTCTATTGACACAGTTGATGGTGAAAAAGTTAACCAAGATTCTGCATTGGCTATTGGAAAAGGGGCTGCCATGAAGGAGCTTTTGAATCTCCCTCTTCCAGAGCTTGAAAGGCGGTGCAGGCATAATGGTTTGTCCCTTGTAGGTGGTAGGGAAATGATGGTTGCTCGGTTGCTTTACCTTGAAGATGCTGAGAAACAGAGGAGCTATGAACTAGATGACGAACTGAAACATGGGAGCCACTCAAGTGCTGGAAAGAATTCCAGTAGATGGAAAGAATCAAGTAGTGAATTTGAGCTGTCGGGTTGGAATGGTTGTGCTGATGAGAACACATTACAAAAAAGAAATGAATCTCTGCAGTCCCCCCCTAGAAATCAAACTGCACAACCCGAACCAACCGATTTATCAAATGAGATGAGAACCAACCCTATTTTGCCATCATCCAAATGGGTTAGAGATGATGATGAGAGTGACGGTGAAGAAGAAAAGAGCAACAAGCATCTGGGATTGACATATTCATCCTCCGGAAGTGGCGACGGTTCTGGTAAGAATGATGAGACAGAGGTTACAACTGAAGCAAGCAGCATCATGGCAAACCTTGAAACTGGAATAAATGAAGAGCAAAGGTTAGATTGTAGTATTATTTTTTTCAGCACCAGACTCATTTATGTGGGGCATATTAGATGGTACAACCGGATGTACCGTACATCATGGCAAACTTGTAATTAAAAAATGTTTCAGAATAAACACTACATTGTTTCATAAGGAACACAAAATGACCACCACGTTGATTCAAAATGAACATTTGATTGATGTACCTAGCCCTAGGTACACCCGAATGTACAATATAGGCTCTCCATTTATGTTGCTGTTTTGATGTGCTTCTTGATGATTGCATGTACTACTCGTTTTCAGACAAAAGCTTAGGCGTCTTGAGGTTTCGATAATTGAATATCGCGAATCCCTCGAAGAGCGAGGCATAAAAAATGCTGAAGAAATTGAGAAGAAAGTTGAAATTCATAGACGACGGCTACAGTCTGAGTATGGCTTGCTGAACTTCAACGACGACACTACAAGGAAATGTAAGTTGTAAAAAAATGATATATTGCTGCCTGAGTGGTGCACTAATTGTGGCTAATATTACATTTCTCTCACAGCTTCCAGATCATCCTCAGAGAGAAGAAACGATTCCCAAGAAGCATCAAGGAAGCGGCTGAGAAGTGTGAGCCCACTCCGGAAATCTTCAAGCAGACACAGGGACAGGGAAAATGATTCAAACAGAGATAGAGAAAAGCGCCGTGAGAAGGAAAGAGGTCATGATGTAGAAATCGATAAGCAAAGGGACAGCAGGAAAGGTGGAACCTGGGAGAGGGATGACAACCATGAAAGAGACAGAGCCAGGGAGAGAGAACGTGAACGTGAACGGAGGAGGGTAAGGTAAAAAAACAATGTTAGGCACACAACAAACACCATCAAACTCACTATCCCTTTGATGATGATGATGATGATGATGATGGTGATGATGATCTATCAGTATGATGAACAAACAATTGATGCCTTTGGATGGATCAAACACTGCAACAACCTAACAGTTTACATGGATGCATCAAAAAGCGCCCAAAACGGTAATCATTATGAACATATTGGGTCCTATCTTTAGAAGTGCAAGTTTGATTGAAGGCAAAACCTGTTTAAGCATCCAGTGTGTGGTAAGTAGGAGTAAAACTGTAAAAGTTATAATCTCCATTTTTCGTAAGGAAATTTCACCAGTAGTTTTATTCAGAAGTTCACCTTGTTTTGAAACCGTTTTCTTTTCTCAAACTCTTGATTTGCATCACAGATAGTTGTGCCTTTTGTATTTATGTGGATCCAATGTAGATGCTCTCTTACTCCGGGGCACTTCTCCGGACATGTATAATTGTAGTTTTACTCCTGATAGATTGTCCTCCCAATCGCTGGAATGCGTTATCGGGATTTTGAGTTCTACACTAATATTTTCGAAAAATGCTTCGAGATTTCCTTTGAAAATCTCCCTCCGTCCCAAAAAAAGTTTTCACAGATTGACTTTTTTCGGTTTGCATGTTATAGACTTTGACCATTAATAAATATGGAGTGTAGTTTAAATAAATAAATACTCCGTATTATAAATATTCGATGTATTAAAATTGTACTAAAATAAACTCAATTTTTTAAAAAATACATTATGACTAAATAATTATTTCTAGAATTTATGGTCTAAGTTTGTAAATTTGATTTTAAAAAAAAACTCAAAATGTAAATTTGTTTTTGGGATAGAATGTAAAGTTTGTATTTTTGAATATTTGTAATATTGTGTGTAATCTAAATGAAAAACACTGCAAACGCAGATTGCACTTCTGGTTCGTTTATTCACTTGCATGTTAGGCGTCCTCAGCAAGATGTCATTTTTTTGAAGATCAAGAAATGTGGAGTACTCCTTATTAAATAGACGAGGAATGTGAATTAAATTGTAATTATATTGACATTTCAAATAGGATAGTTGTAAGAAGGTATCACACTTTCCAAAAATATTTAGCGTTTATTTAATTCAAATCAATGGAGTGTTTTTCTATACTGATGCTTATTGACTAACTGTCGATACATAGTTTTTAACGTATAAGTTACTTGTAATCTTTATGAAAGTAAAATAACTTAAATATCTTTGTAGAGTAGTTAAGTCATTTGGAAATATTAATAAATGGTAAGAGGTAGTTTTACAAATAATATAGTGAAAACGAATAAATGAAAAACTATCGTTAAAAATAAGTAGACTTATTTATTTTTTCCGGCTTATGACTTATAACGGTTTCATTATCTCGTTTCTTTTTTTCTTCTCTTTCTCCGGCGAATCTACCTTTTCTACTTATATCCTCACTCCTTTTTCCTCTTTTCTACTTTAGGTTGCGTTCCGTTCACCTGATCTGATCAGATCTGATTTTTAGAAGTTCTGATCTGGTCTGATCTGATATAATATATATTGGATTTAAATTAAAATAACTATTATAATACTTATAATAATAATAATAATAATAATAATAATAATAATAATAATAATAGAATTACTGATAATAATAATAGTAATAGTAATAATAATAATAACTACTCCTTCCGTCCTAAATTAAATTGTATGTTTACTATTTACAGAGCTAAACTTCATTAATTTTCTTTCTTTATTTTTGTTAGTCATTTGATAAAATAGTATATTCATGTCACCATTAATTTTGTAGATCTTTTGATAAAATAATATAGCATGATCTTAGGGTGTATAATAATAATAGAAATAATAATAATAATAATAGCAACAATAATAACAATAGTAATACGGAGTAATAATAGTAATAACAATAGTAATAATAATTATAATCATAATCATAATACTAATACTAATAATTGTAACAACAATAGTAATAGTAATAATAATAGTAATAATAGTAGTAATAATAATAGAAATAATAATCATAATATTAATAGTAATAATAATAATAACAGTTGTAATAATTATAATAATAGTAATAATAATATTAATTTTGTTTAGATACGATATGATTGGATCTGATCTGGTCTAATTTGATCTGATCTAATCTTTATAAGAATAAATAATAAGTAAAAAAATAAGTTGAACATAACGAATTCTTAATCCTCTCCATTTTCCTCATGCCACATAAGACTCTTCTTCCTGTTTTTCAATCACTAAAGTTGCTCACTTGCTCTAATGAATAACAAATGAAAGTAAAGGTGGTTTTGTCAAGTGGGTCGATGAGAACAAATCTGTGGGGCCAAATGACAAATACTCCTTCCATCATATAAAAAAATATTCCCCCGTCATAATTTAAATCACTAATTATAATTTATAATATTTGACTGAAATTATTTTTATTTCAATTTATTTAAAAATGATTGTGAAACTAGAATTATTTCTAAAAAATTACATAAAAGATTTTACAAAACAAAAAGTAAAATAACTACTCTGTATATTATTTAATAAAATATAAAATTAGTAACAGAAATAGATAAAAAAAAAGTTTTTAAAACTTCATTATGTGAATAGTGAACAAACAATTTAAATTAGGAACTAGGGAGCATTTTGTTTTTTACATCTCAACAATTTTTTTTGTTTGCTTTATTTCCTTAAAAAACGAACATATAACTCAAAAAAGTTATTTCTACAGAAATTCTAACTGATGCTAGTTTTTTTAATATTTTTCTTAAGCTTTGTGTTTTTCATAGAATCTTTGACATTGTTTTGGTAGAAATGTATACGAAGGTGACCTAGGATACTTCACGGGGACAAATCTATGGGTGATTTTAGCATCATTGACTATTTTATGTAATTAGAATTTACTTAGAATGAACGAAAATTTTGAAAGACGTTAACAAATTCAGATGGGCAAAGTACACGCTTGTTCAATGATACTCGTATTACAAATTTTATGACCTGAAATCCTTTGGAATTTTGTATATGAAGTTCAAAATAATGAACATTCAAATGTACAAATTAATATATTCGAATGTTGTGTTTACCCTGCACATCCTAAGAAAATTCCTCGATACATTCGAATATTTGAACCCGAACATTCAAATATTTCACGATAAGTTGGACATTCAAATGTTAGAGAACCAACATTCAAATATTACCCAAAAGTTCGTTATTTCATCAACCAACGCGTCCGTTCAGAATTTACCTATAAATATGACACCTTGGTATGTTCCGAGATATGATTGAAAAATCCATACCCGGTCTAGATTACTTACGTCTTACCCAATTGAAGTATTTTGGTATGCCCTAAAATAACATTAGGCCTATCAAGTCGTTCTTCGTATACCGATTGTATAATGTTGCTTCACAGCGTTGTTCCTCCTGATTCCCCAACAAAATCACATTCAAATAGTCAACCACAGCTCTGCATTTTTGTCCAAATTCTGCACAGATATGTGTTTTTCATCGAGTAGAATGAGATGCAGTAAATTTCATTGCTAACAGGGAACACTCTTATATCTATATATACTCCATATATGTATTTACAAAACAAGGTCAATGTATAGTTACTTTCTCCCAAATTTTGCACTTTCACAAACTACTCCTTCCCTCCCACAATCAAGTTCTGCAACTGAACTGACATGGCCCTATTAAGAAAGATGAAATTGTGGTTGATATTTGTGTAAAGGAAAATGATAAATAATATGATCCATAATTCTTTCAACAACAACAACATTACCCCAGTGCCTCAACGGCTCCCGCCCATTGCGGGGTAAGGGGGGTTGGACATACGCAGTCTGACCCCTATGTTTAAAACATAGAGCGGCTGTTTCTAGATAACCAATGATGAACGTCAAAAGCTGCATTGACCAACTCCTACTTCACAATTACAAGAACCACAATTCTTTCCCTTAAAGGAAAAGTGCAACTTTTTTGAGGAACAAACTCAAAAAGAAAATGCAAATCTTTTTTTCTTAGGCTCCGTTTGTTTGGGTAGTAAAAACAGGGTTAGTTGTTGGAAGAAATTGGAAGGAGTTGGAAAAAACTTGGAGGAGTTGGAAAATGTTGGAAAAAATAAAATGTTAAAAAATCACTCAATTAAATATTCAGCCAAAAATAACTATGTAAGAAAACTAATTTTGGATTAAAAAAGATCATCTTTGTCAGCATTTGAGGTGGTATGTTATAAATTTGGATATATAATGTTATTGTATATTCATCATATGTAAATACTTTTTTTAGTCGTTGTCGGAAGAAACTGTAAAGAGTTGGAAGAAATAGGAAGAAGTTGGAAAGAGTCAAAAGTTAACTTTTTCAATCCAAATGAACAGACCCTTAGTCGGGAGTATAATCTAATTTTGCAAGGAAAACAATCATGTAAACTAATAAAGCCAGGAAAGAATCATACCCTATTATATAAGTGGCTGGGCATTGCCATATGAAGATCCATTTTGGTTGAAACCATTACTGTTAGACTGGAAGTAAGCAACCACAGACAAGAGCACACGTAACAGCAGGATGACCGCAAATACAGTGCCACCCAATGTGCAGATAACCTGAAACAACAGTGAATGAATGAATGCACCTGTAATTTCAGTACAGTCATACCCGAAGAATTGAAGGAACCCGCTCGCGGGGAAGAAATACCTCAAGGAATGCTTTCAAAAGTGAAAGAGAAGCCAAAATCAAAACACCGTCAACCGCAAAAGACACCTGCAGTTACCCACAGCAGTATAGACAGTTGTTCAGAAATACAGAATTACAAATGTAAGAGAATAAACCTAACAGTTACCAATGTACAGTACTACAAGGTAGGGATATCATAAATAAGTAAATCTAATTTCTTTAAAAGCATGTCCTTGAATAAGTGAGGATGTTTAAACAGAGAATTCCCCTGCATGTCCCTAACATCATGATTACAGCTGACTATTTGGAGATAACAAATATTCTAGGAAGCACAGCTTGCAATATACTCCTTCCTATCCCAAAACAAAAAGTCACAGGCTCCCACTTTGATCACACAGGGAGTTAATTTTTCAAAAAACTACGAAAAACGAATCACAAAAACATTACGTAAGATAAACTTAGGTAAACCAACGAAAATTTTTTAGAAAAATAAGTATTTTTCATGATTTATGAAAGTTCTACCTTAATAAAATTAACAAGTTGTACATTGGACAAACAAGACTAATTTTTGGGTCAGAGTTGGTTGTAGACGAGCAAACATATGTCCGCTCAACAAAATTTTAAAAAGGGGCAGCAGATAAAATGCGAGCTGCAATAATTATCACCAACATGATTCAGTTGAAAAATGACGTTTCCTTCTTTAACCAGCTATCTTGAAAAATTGGAAGTATAACTTTGTGTTCAAGAAGTAAATTCTTCCTCCGTCCCTAAATGGATTTCACATTGCACTATTCCAAAATCACGGTAACTTTTGTTTATTTTTGTGTTTTAATTGATTATTTGATCAAATAAAATATTCTTGTCAGCTCTTGTTCTGTAGACCTTTTGACGTCGTTTTTAAATATGCAAGTTTTATTTTTTATTTCTATACCAATTTTAAATAACATGAATTGATAAAAACTTGAGATTTTGCCTCGCTTTGGCTTCCATAATTCATTTAGGGACGGAGGGAGTATGTTACATGAACTCAGATTTCTTTGATGCATTAATTACATTATCCACTTCTTCTGCATGGCAATAGGCTAAAAAAGCACATATCTAAACTTTCAGGGTTTGTACGTTTCTTGTTTGTTATTAATGAACTTAAGAGGAAAGAGAATTTAATGGCATTGAAAGAGAGGGAAAAATAAATGGCGTGAAAAGTGTTTTCTTTGTGTGAAAGAAAGCAACAAAAAAGGTGATAGGTCCATAAAAAACACTTTATAATTTGAGATGAAAGTTGTGGAGTTAAGAAAATGAATTGAAAAAACTTGAGATTTTGCCTTGTTTTGGCTTCCATACCATCCATTTAGGGATGGAGGTAGTATGTTACATGATCTCAGATTTATTTGATGCATGAATTGCATTAGGAACTTCTTCTGCATGGCCAGTAGCTAAAAAGCACAACTTTAAATTTTCAGGGTTTGTATGTTTGTTGTTTGTTTCTAATGAACTTAAGAGGAAAGAAAAATAAATGGCATGAAAAGAGAGGGAAAAATAAATGGTTTGAAAAGTTTTTGCTTTTTGTGTGAAAGAAAGCAACAAAAAAGGTGACAGGTCCAAAAAATACTTCATTATTTGAGATGAAAGTTGTGGAGATTATACATTCTCCAAAAACTTTGCCAACTGAAATGATGGAAACCGTGTTGATTGAATCATGACAACTATGTCATTTTATTTGTTTCATTTTTGATCTATTATACACGATCTCATATTTTTTAATTCGTATATTCTCTTTTCTACTTTCTTTTACTTCAAGCGAAAAACTGCATTTCCCACTCAGCCACCCCGTTTCCTTTTCATTCTTATCCTTCTTTACCAAGCCAACTTCTATTCTTTTTTCTTTCCTACCAACCGAACAAATCTTTGATTTGTTAAAGGGATTAGGATATGAAAACAATGGAAGCAAATAAAGCAGATAAGAAAATTCATTACGATGAAGTCTTCTCACATGAAAACGTAGGGTTACATTCCAAAAACACAACTATGGGTACACAAAAGTGTCGTATCTGTACTAAGTGTGTGAGCGCGCGCACGCAAGATGCACACACATACTTCTGTAATTTAACTACTATGAGTAAATTTAGCAAAGAAACATTCCTAGTTTATTTATATGTGGAGTACTTCACTAGTTCTCTTAGCACCATATCTTCAACTAAAATGGAGACATACTTCACAATCTTAATTTTAGTGCCCACTCATTCAGCAAATTCCTAGTTCAACTTGAAGTCTAAAAGTAGAAGTCGATCTTAAATCTAGGAGCTCATAGCTTCTTGTTACCCCCCAGTGTCGATTCCTTCTAGTGACAGATCCCAGCAGCACTATAATGAAAATGGCTGGATTTTTGAGGCAATATACTAATCTCATACACACAGTATTCCTAATATACAACCACACACTTAGCATAAACTCGAAAAACAACAAATTGGACTTATGTATATAGCTAAGAGTTTGTGAGAAATTACTAGCTGCGACGAAATGAAGTCAGGCAAGATTGAGCAAGTGGCCTTCTTGGCACGCTTAGACACCTTCCTGAAAATGCTCCGAACGAACCTAATTAGCAAATCTATGCTGCTTTCAGTTTCGTTGTCTTCCTCTGAGTCATAGCCATCATACTCATCCTCTGCCCTAATCTCATCTCTGAAATTCCCTCCAAAGATCCCTTCGGCTTCTTCTCTAATCGAACCACCAAACTGAAATTAGAAAGAAAAAAACTGTTTTTGAATAATCAGTTTTCTTAATGCGTAGCCTGAATGCACGAGTTCAGCTGCTGTGTACCTTAGCATGGCGAATGGTGAGGCTAGGGTTTGTGGGGTGAAGTCGTGGGAGAGAAGATGAAAAGTGACTAGGAGATGGGGATGAAGGTAAAGCAAATGTTGAGAAAGCTGCGGCAGAAGAACGCGGCACTGGTAAAAGATGCAATGAAGCGGCAGAAGGCGGCGATGTTAAACGATGCAGTGTAGCTGCGGCGGCGGCGGTGGTCGCCATTCAGGCTTGATGGGGCAATCAAATTCCTGGATTTAAGCCTTTTTCTGAGCTTTGGACTAGTCGGCCAGGCGTGGAATGAGCTTCGGCCGGAACACAATCCGTTTGATTGCAAGAATGCAGGGATGCAACTCCTAAAAGGTTGCAAGCATGAGTGGTTCACACTTCACACACCAACTCCGCCCCACCAGTGAGGATCATTACATGTTTAGCTCTTTTTGCATCATGACATCTACAATGGAGTAAAATCTAAACACTTACTCTCTCCATTCCAGTATATTTGTCTAGTTTGATTTTTTAGAGTCAAATTGGATAAATTTTGAGTTTTGATTAAATAAAAATCGTAATATATTTTAACATAAAAATGACTTTATTAATTTATTGTATTTAGAATTTCCAAAATTGTATTTCATTATGCTAATATATAATATAAATTAAAAGTAATTGGAGCTTAAAATTTGTCCAGTTTGACTCGAAAAAGTCAAACTAGACAAATACACTGAGACGGAGATAGTACATATTTTTAACCTAAAAAGGCATGGCAAAGACTAGGGTAAAAATTATTGGGGGTGACAAGGAGTCGTTTTTGATGGAGGTGAGTAGACGAGTTGCGTAGATGTGGATGTTATGATGGATGAGTCGACAGACAAGGATGAATACGATTAGGAATGAGGTTATCCGAGGATCGATAGGTGTGACCCTAATGGAAGATAAGTTGTAGAAAGTTAGATTGAGGTGGTTGGCTCATGTTAGGTAGTGGAGTGCTCACACTCCTGTACGAAGATGTGAGAGGCTATCATTCGTGGGCAAGAGAAGGGAAAGGTGTAGACTTAGGAGGAATTGGAAGGAGGTAATTAAATACAACCTAAGACTTCTTGTACTTACAGAGGATATTACTCGAGATAAAATTATTTGGAGATATAGACTTAGGGTAGTTGGATAGAAACTTTGAGTAAAGGGGTATCTTCTACACTTTTTGTGTGCGTGTTATGCTATGAGTTCTCTCTTTTATGTGCTTTTCTTATGTTAACTTTAGTTTGTTTTTTGTCTATGTGTGTTGTGTATTTTTTGCTTTATGTTTCATTGTAATATTAGATTATCAATGCTACTTGAGTCGGGGGTTTCTTGAAAATAATCACTTTGCTTTTGAGTAGGAGGAAGATTTGCGTACACGCTCTTTCCAAGCCATACTCTTGCAAGGTTCTACTGGATTGTTATTGTTGTTAGAATGCATGAAGAGTATACGAGTCTTATGTGGTGGAAAGAATGAGTGAGTCAGCGGCTCAACGATGACGTGAATACTACATACTTAAGGTAGAGTTTTTTTACAAAAAATGTTTGGGTACACCAAAAGAGTACTCTCAAGCATTTCTATATCGCAGACCTTTTAGTGTAAAAATAGAAAAAAATAAATCAATAAAATTGTGTAGTATCCCTAACATGGTGTATACTTGAATTTTTTTAGTGTACCCTTAGCATCTCTCTTCTTTTATCATGTCACTTCCCTCCCATGTCCATACCAAAAAAAGGAAAAGTTTTTTTTTGGACCATGCTACACTTACACCAAAAAATATACTCCATTTGTACACCACAGTTTTGCACAAACATTTTGATGGTTTACACCGCACAAGTGTTGGTGCATTTACAAAAATTTAAACGGACATAAGTGTTGGTGCGTTGACAAAAATTAGTTTTACAACAACACAAAATGTTGGTGCATAACTGCGAGGTACAAATTGGAGTATAAATCTTGGGGTACACATAGCATAATTCTTTTTTTTTTTCAAAAACAAAAAAAAAAAGGAAAAAGAAAAGATTTTGTTTGAAAATAGGAAAAAAAAGGAATTTTTTGCCACCCTCCCCTCTCGTCTTCCAAAACTTCCCGGTAACGCGCGGACTCAATGACAAGAAGTCCCGACGTGCTCTTTCAACCGTTAACTAGCCAAGAAATTCCACGCGCAGAACCGTGTCCCATGATGATACAAAGAAATCGAAGCTTGAAGGGCGATTTAATGGCCTTTCCCTTTTTGATATAAATGAGGTTTTGGGGGGAATGATTGCCGATGGTTGATAAAGTCAGGGATTTTCAGGAAGCCATGTTGGATATTCTTTCATGAATTGCAATTTGGAGCCGTATATTTTCATCCGTTTGTCGCGAAATTGCATTAAAGTGCGATGGGCGGATCGAAAAGGTCTGGATTTACCGGCGGCGATGGCAATGAATCGCCTGTGACGAGCCGCGCTCCGTCTCCGACGGTGCGGCTGGGAAAGATTCAGCCTCAAGCCCCGGGTTGCAGGACGGTGTTTTGCAATGATCCTGAAACCACGGCCATAGCTAATTTCAAGGTCTCAGCTTATTTGGTTTCTTCAACACAATTATTATTATGATTTTGTTGGAATAAATGTTTTCTGTTGTTATTTTGGGTGGCCGAATTAGTGATGGTGAAGAATGTGAGTTAATAGGAACGAATTTGAAGTTAGGGTTTGGCGCTTAATTACAATCATAATTAAATTATAGGCATATCGAATAATTATTATTAATTACAACAACAAACCCGGAATAATTCCAACTTCGTTGGAGCATGGAGATCAAGATGTACACAACCTTACCTCTGTAAGAAAAATTAAGGTTTCTTCCATTATTAGACATTTGATGCATTGCTCCATGTACTTCCCAAAACTCCACAAAAAGTAAGAAGCAAGATAGGTTTAATGTGGGATTTTAATTTAGTCCATTATTTACTTGAAGCTAATACATTGTCAAAAAACAATTCTTTTAGCTACACTGGAAACAGACACACTAATAAGCATGGATTATTTTTGCAATTCTAGACATTTGATATTATGATCCAAACATTAGAAATGGAATCAGAATTGTTATGTCACCTAAAACCAAATTCTGGCACTCATGATCCAAAGACCAACATAAGAATTCCCATTCTAATGGAAATAGAATTTGGTTTCAGTTTAGGATGCAAATGGACCCTATGCTTTTCTTGAATCAAATAATTCATATTTGAAACTATATGAAAATTATTTTCCTGCATTTACATGCCATACCCATTGCAATGAGATAAAAATGCACGGAATTTAAAATTTGTTTGCATTTAATCCAAAAGAACCACAATATAATTACTTCCTAGTGAAACAGGAAACACTTGATTTAGCGAACTAAAAAGAGAGAGAATGAGATAGGCATTTCAATTGGTTCATACATATTGAGGCATAATAGAGGAGTCTCTTAACAAATACTTGCTTTGCTCTTCAATGGTCAATTTAATTTTTCGTGTGAGTAAGGCTAATTGCAGTGTCCAAGTAGTGCACGCATTTCCTTTGCAAATGAATATAATCATGTATTCTCTGATACATCTATGGATCCGTCTACACGATTTTACTTTTGCTTTTCTTTGTTTTAGGGCAACTCAGTTTCGACTACAAAGTACGATTTTCTTACTTTTTTACCGAAGGGCTTGTTTGAACAGGTATTTTATTGCAAATTACAAATAAAGAATGCCTATCTCTCGATCCTGTTCTAACTTGTCACATATATTAATTTGTTTTCTGTTGCAAAAATCTTTAAACATATCTTTAATTAAGTTTTTACATGTAGCCCCCCCATTTTAGCAACTTTAGTTATTGATAGATGTTAAAGTGTAGTGTGTCCCGCCCAAAGATAATTTCTGGGTACGCCACAAATGAGATATATATGCCATGCACTATGTTGCTGTAGGTACAATATGGGCGGAAATTATATAGGACTGATATGTTAAAGTTAGTACAAACGTTCCATATTTACCATACAAAGATATATAAAATTGGCTAAACACACTACCACTATGGTTAGGGTTATGATATTCAGCACAATTATTGGCACCCCTCTCAAGTTGGAGCATTTAAGTCATATGCACCAAGCTTGTCGCAGATGTACTCAATTCAAAGATATCTAAGAGATTTAGTTAATATGTTTGCAAGCTAATTAACACGGTTAACAAAGTTTAATGATGCATTAGATTTGACGCAATGTGCAATTCTGCCGGGTTATCATATAAAACTCATTTGTGCCCACAATAATATTTCAACTCTTTAAGTAAATGCTTCAACAGTAAAAGTTCACTCGTGGCTAGGGCCATATTACTTAGATCCGACAATAGATCATGCAACAATGTCTTAGTTCTTACTTTTACATGATATCAAATTATTGAGACTACAACAACAACAAACCCCTACTTGGAAGTAAAGAGAGTATTTCCAAGAGACCATCGATACAGAAAGCATTGATAGAGTAAAATAAAGCAAACACAGTAGCACGAACAAGGTGAGAGCACAAACTCAAGAAAATGAAGAAGTCCCCAGGTCAAAAATGAAAAAAAGTGAAAATGACAAACCAATCAAAACTGAAACTGACAAAGTCCAAAACCACATTTGGATTGAGCTAGTTCAATGCCAAGAAAGGATTTCAACTTATATAGACACGTAGTTTAAACAATGCCTATTGCTTTGACCTTGGACAAAAATATGACATCTTCTTCCTTCACCGTGACTGATTTATCTCCCTTTGAAAATTTTGACGCGAGGTCAAATCCTTTCCAAGAGGGGGAGGAAGATAAAAGCCAAGATGAACAAGTTAGGGATCCTTGGAGACCCATTCGTGTGCGCAAGAGAGAAGAATATCCAATAGGTTTGAAAGGGATTTAATTATGCAGCTATACCCAGCTTAAGAGAAGACCTACATGCCTAATGGTGAGTCCCTTGAATTATTTAAATAAATAAAACTGAGCTTGAGAAAAGAAGGTTTTGATGTAGACAAAGCTGCCCGAAATTGGCTAAAAGCCTGGAAACCATGAGAATCCCATCTTTGGAGTATTGAATAGAAGATGACGCCATTATATATTTTTCAGAATTTATAATAATAATAATACTAATAATAATACTAATAATAATAATAATAATAATAATAACAACAACAACAACAACAATAATAACAATAATAAATTATTAATTAGTAATACTCGTAGTCAAGATGGTAATTGTCATTGGCCCTTGTCCCCGGAGGACTTCCTCTTGTGGAGTCTCTTTGGAACCTTTAGCTTAGCCTTTAACACTGCCTCCACATCTAACAGAGTACCTAAATTTGGTCCGGAGGAGTTTCAGGTGGTAGTTGTGGTCCAGTCAAAGATGTTCATCCATGCATCTTCATATTCCTACTGAGGTGGGGCCTCCAGAGGTCTGGACTTGCTCCGTTCAACCCTTCAAAGTGTTGGGAGGTTGTGTCCGAGTCTCTGGAGTGGTTGCTGTGATCCCGGTTGTCTGTTGCCTCTTTGGGGTCGTGGCTTTAGTCGCCCGCTTTTTCGATGAATCCAAAGACATCCATATCATCATGCTTCAGGGGAGTAGTGCCCTTTAGCCTACCAAAAATGATAGGTTCCAGGCTGGTTAACTCATATTATAGTATTTAAGTAATTAGCACTATTTAATTCTTTGTTGAGTCTTTTTATTTATCATATTTATCATTTAGTAATTATTCAATCCCACGTAGTAGGGAGTAAGGAGTCAGTTATTCACACTTAGTTGGAGGTTTGGAGAAAGTTATTCCCGTTTAGTTAGTGGAGGTTATGAGTAAATTATTACTAGTAGAAGTTAGACTCTTCGCATAAATAGACATCAAGTCATGTGTATTGATTATGGAAGATTACATAGTAATTTATTATAGGAGATTCTCCTTGGCTCTATTACTCATATGAGTTTAAGATACTCATATTTTGATAAATATTTTTCTTTTATTATTTTATGAAGTTAGATGCTGATTCCATAATTCAATAAAAACTTCCCTTCATTTATTTTCCTGGCCAATCTTGAGTTCTATCATTTGGCATCACAGCCATAAGATCTTTATGGGTTCCTTCTGCTAAAAATTCAGTTTCTCTATTTTTCCCATGCAATTCTGCATTATAGCTCGCCTTGATGTCATTAAATCAAAAGCTGCAACATGTGAAGTACGAGGCAAGGTTTTTCAACATGTGCCAATTAGCAGAGGAGTCAAAGCTCGATTTCATCTAGAGGTTGGAGAGAAGAACAGAGATGCAAGGTTGTTAAATCTAAAGGGCAGTTTAGGAAGGCTAACTTTGCCCTAGAATTTGAGGGGAACTACATGTTATCATGGGCTGAAAATTTAAATATGCTCCATTTTTATTCTGGTTCATCTTTCATGGTGGGTGATGCAGAAAAAAGAACAATACGAGAAGTGCTGGAACTCAATGATGAGACAAAAGTATATTTAGAGCCTTCATACAGTGTATCTGCTCTCTTGGAGAAAAAAAAGTGTCAACAGACAGCCCAATACATTTTTCTCTTCACTCAAGATTCTCATGAGAGCTAACAACCGATCCACAATACTCTATGGCAGAAAGGGCATAACTACATCTGCCACAATGAGTTCAACATTCTCTTATAAAACCTTGTGCGCTACCATAGCAGCAGCTACTTTTCAATGGTGGAAGCCCCATTGCAAATACAATTTGCTCAAAGCTGGTTCTTATATTGTTTTCTTGCTACCCCTACCGAAGCCCCGAGATATACAAGGAAGCATCAAAGTGATTAGGTTGCCAAATTACGTCTTGAGGACAAGTCGTGTTTCCAAGAGGGGAGTAATGATAGGTTCAAGGCTGGTTGGTTTAGTCATATTATAGTATTTAAGTAACTAGCACTATTTTATTATTTGTCAAGTCTTTATCTATCATATTTATTATTTAATAATCATTTAATCCCATGAAGTTAGGAGTCAGTTATTCCCACTTAGAGCCTGTTCTTTAGGGCTTGAACTCTTAACTTCCAGTTTCTTCCAATTCTTTCCAGTTTCTTTCAGTTTTTTCAGTTCTTTCCAGTTCCTTCCAATTTTGTTCAGTTCTTTCCAGTGGAAGGCTTAAGATGCGGGGTATGTTGTCAATGTGATTCGAGATGATTGAGTGGATGTCAGCATGATGGAGAGTTCACACGGGATTATTTTTTTACTCATTAGAGTACCAATTTTGAGAGTGAGTGGTAGGAGTATGCTAAGGTTTCCATCTTTTGTAGGTATCCCACTATCCCATGCCATGGTTGCCAACTGTAGTTTATATCCTTGAAATGCTGTTCGCATTGCTTTCATGGAGGTCCCTGAATGTTTACTCTAAGGTCTTGAAGTCACCTATTTTGCATACCGACAGCTGAACCAAAATGTTATTATTTGAAAGGTGAAGTTTCACTTTACCGTCCTACCCTGACCCATTAACCATTAGATCACATGTCCATGCCTTCGAAACATCTTTGATAATAGAAGTAAGATTCATTCCTTCATTTTCATTCTCAGGCTGCCAATGGGCAGTGTTAACACTATATTTTCCAGTATATTTATAAATATATACAAGTATGTGCTTCTAATCTTTCCCAAAATTCTATTTTCCTCATATTTGCTTATATATACATTACATTAATACATTTGTTGGGTGTGAAACGGAATGGGATTAACCTATTACCTTCAACCCATCCTTCTAGCTCACTTTTACCTGATATATCTATATGATATGCTGACAGTTCAGGCGTGTGGCTAATCTCTACTTCCTTATGATTTCAATTTTGTCATGCACTCCAATGAGGTATGCTTTCTTTTGGATATATGATTGCAGTCAAATGGAAAATCATTTAGAACTTTACACAGGCAAATGTTTTTCTCCTCCAAATTTTGTATGTATGGTACTATGACATTTGTTTTGGTGCAGTCCTGTAAGTCCAATCACCAATGTGCTTCCTTTGAGCTTGGTGCTTCTTGTTTCTCTTCTAAAAGAGGCGTGGGAGGATTGGGTTAGTACTATTATCTAACTTTTCTTTATGTTTTGAACTTGATCATTTAGTACGAGTGTATGACAGTGTTTGCCACCCTAAAGTCTGTTTGACAATATTTGCTAATTGTAGACTCACTTGAAGGCAGTGTAAACTCTCAACTAAAACAAGTTGTTTCATAAGCAAAAGCATGAATCAAGACTCTCTTTTGGCACTTTGAAAAAAGGGATTTGGAAAATTTACGTCATGAAGTTTTTGGATTGCAGAAGCTGAAATAAGAGCAAACAAAATATAGTAGTAGACCAAGTTTTAATACTTACTGCTAGCACACTTTACGCTAACATGATCCCAGATACATGTGTAACACTTAGGCAAGACATAGACCGTATTCACATTGTAGAATACATCACATGCTAACACACCAGGGGCATTTGGATAAACACACAAACAACATGATTTAATAATTTAATACCCTCTCAAGCAAGACCATCTTATGTTCCAAGCTTGATACAGAATCACAGATGAGTTCATTTGAATATGGTAAACTGACTATTTACATTCCATGTGGGGAAAAACATGAGGTGCAACAACCAACCTTGTCTTCATCTTTTAAATTAAACTTGAAATTTGAATCCTGAATTCGAGAAAAGTTGAAGTTCAAGTTTTTAACCTTTGAACCTTGACTATATTTTGAATTCGACTGACATGTTTGTCACGCTCCAAGAGCACTCCGGAGTAGATAACCATCGTATAACCGAGCTAAGGGTGTTGGCAACACACTTAATATTTAATAAGGCTATACAAGGCTAACTGGCAATCATTAACATAACTAAACACATTTAAAAAAAGCAACAGTAAAGGTCAAATACAAAAGCATGAACACGAGAGTGCACAAGCATACAGTATAAGTTGAGGGTTACAACTTAAAGTCAAATTAATACAAATACTGGACATTAGCACACTACTCAAGAAAGCTTAAAATGGATACCCAACAATAGATCCAGAGAACTGTGAATCTGCTGCAAGAGAAAGTCAACAGTCTTTCAAGTGACCTGAAACACATGTGAGGGGACTGAATGTATACATACCACTATACCAGGTTACTAAGGTTAGAAGACAATAGCTCGCAAAAACCCCAAAAGCATGTCTGAAATAAGCATCTTTGTATATGTGCTCATAGGCAACCATGCGGTCCATACCCAATAAAACATGTCTGGTTTCCTTTTTTTGTCTTTATCAGACATTCAGATCCTGTGATGTACGCAGCACTCCTCAAATTTTGGTCTTAAATCCAAATGATGGATTTTGACTATTTTACCTAACTGTTTATCTTCTCTCAGCAATCTTTAATGGCTGAGAGAATTAGGTCATGGCAGATCTGATACCATTTTAAATGAGATGGTTTGAAAAGTCAAGATTCGAAGATCTGTGCAGTTGGCTAATAGCCATCACTTTCTGAAGTGGTGGAAGCTTAAGTAAGAGCAAGAAAATTTAGCAATAAAGATTGATTTTTATTGCTTCAAACTAAAATACTTGACTACAAGGCTGCACATGATGACACACTTATATGTACTCATAGGCAACACCTAGATCATTTCATCATCCTAGGCTACATTACTGCTACACACACTCATGGAAATACAATAGACACAGAAACTACATGTCTTAATAATTGAAGAGATACTATGTTGCCCATTCTCTATATATATAGGCTCTTGAAGCCTTCCCATCTATACATTTTTTTTCTGTTTTCTTCTTGTCTTGCTATTCTCTCTTGTGTTCTTTTCCTTATGTTCCTAAGCTTTCATCTTACTTGTGGTTGTGGATGGTGACTTCTCGCCATCTACCAGATATTCCAATTCATTATTTTAAGCAATTGTTATGCATCAAGAGCTCACACATATCTTTTCTTTCGTCTTCTGCAATAATGAACAGAAACGTTTTCAGAATGACTTGTTGATTAATAATGCTTCTGTAGACATCTTGGTAGGCCAGCAATGGTTGAGTGTACCTTGGAAGAAGCTTCAGGTTGGAGACATTGTGAGGGTAAGTGCACTGCACAAAAACTATTTACTTGCTCTTTTTTGTTGTATTGATTTTGTGCCTTATGGTGAGAACCTGTTACCTTTATCTACATCTAAGGTTACTCTATATGAAAGTGTATTATGCTTTGAAAAGATTGATACACTAAAGTATCCCATAATGTTACGTGTCATTTTGAACATCAAATGGAATAAATTATTTGTGATATAGAAATCATGATGTCTTTAAGGAAAAGGTGAAGTGCGGATGAAATGAGGAACAAATGAAGAGCTAAAGTTGCTTTGAAAATGGAAACAAGATGAAAAGATGAAATTACATATAAAAATGATGTCATAGCTTATCTAAACTACTGCATCTCATTATATAGTTTTTACATTCTTGGTTTGAATTATTTTCTGAACAGGAGCAGAGCACATATGTTTCACTAGTATATTCACAATTTTCACCACAAAAACTAGTTTATTAAAATAAGTAGTGTTTAATTCTTTATTAAATGGACTTTGTGTGAGTCTTGAGTATGGGGTGTGTGTGTTGATATTGGGCTTGCCAAAATTTAAATGGAATAATATCGGGACATGGAGAGAGAAACTAGCAATGAGATTTAAGGTAGAGGCAAGGTATGCGTACTCACACTCTGTGGGATTTTTACTGGGTCTGTTGTTGTTATGAAGAGAGGAACTAACAGTGTAGTAGCAGAACATGTGCTTTATAGCTACAGAATTACAAAACTCAAGAATTATTGAACAATATAGGCTAGCTTATGTTTAGCTACCCTCATCATACCAAAAAAGTTATAATAATGTCCATAATAACTTTATTCATAGTGAAATACCAAAGTTGAATACTTAAATATTGTTATTGTAATAAAGGAATCTTTTGATAAATAAATAAAGCAGGATTACATACAACAAAGTAAAGGAATCGGAGTTATATTGAATTTAGGATTCACGTCTCTTTCATTAGGTCACTGTTGCAATATCAGCTCTAATTTATCACAATTTTCTCATGTCACTACCTTTTTCTAATTAAAAAGAATAAATTATACTACTTGGAAGGATATTGTGCAGTCCGGTGATGGTCGTTCTTTCGCACAGAGTTCAAGGGGAGGTCCCTTGGTGCATGCTTTTGTGCTGATTGACGGCATCCGCGAGGGACTAAATGACAAGTTGGAGCTATGATTCTTTTCCCTGGAATCCAAAGATTTCAGACTGAGTAGGACTAAGACTGAATATATAAAATGTCCGAATATTTTAGTGGCTGGGTGACAAAATTAGAGAGAGATATTAGGATTGATTCCCATCCAGTGCCCAAGGTCGACAAGTTTTGGTATTTTGGCTCGGTCATTTAGGCACAGATGGAGAGTTGATCGGGGATGTTGCGCACCGTATTGGCTTGGGCAAAGTGGAGGTTGGCTTTGGGGGTTCTATGTAATAAAGAGATTTCGTGTAGGATGAAAGGCAAGTTTTAGACTAGCTATGTTGTGTGGTGTAGAGTGCTGGGCAGTTAAGAAAACCCACGTTTGTTAATTGCATGCTGTAGAAATGTGGATGTTGCGGTGGATGAGTGGTAAGTCTAGGATAGAAATGATTCAAAACTAGTTTATCTGTGGATGGGTAAGATTGGCACCGGTGGAGGATAAGCTGCAAGAAACTAGGTTGAGGTGGGTTGGTTGTGTGAGGCGGCGGAGTGCTCAGGCCCAATGCGGAGATGTGAGAGGCTTAGGCCATGTTATCTTCACTTGATTTGATTGGTTCTAATCTGATTATAATAAGTTCTGATCTTATCTCGTCTGATCTGAATGTTGTTATATTTAAATCTATTTCTGATCTGATCTCGTCTGATTTGATCTGATTTCAATAAGAATAAGTAATAAGTAAAAAAAATAATTTGAGGAGAACATGACCTTTTAGTGGTGGGTGGGAGTAAGGAGAGAGGTAGACTTAGGAAGAATTGGAATGAGGTAATTAGGAAGGACCTAGGGCATCTAGTCCTTATTGAGGATATGACATTGGAGAGCTAGGATTATGGTAGTTAGGTGGGTGTTTTGCGCTTGGTGGTAGTTTTTGCACTTGCTAATGTGTGTTTTTTTAATGCTTGGTGCTATATGCTTGTTGTGCCTTTCCTCCAATAATTAGTTTGCTTTCTTTTTTATGCTCGATGCTTTCCCTGCTTTATGTCTATTGTGTTTTTGTGCTCTGTGTGCTACTTGAGTCGGGGGTCTCTTGGAAACAACCTCCTACTTTCGAGTAGGGCTAAGGTCTCCATACGCACCCTGTCGTAGGATCCAACTGGGTTGTTGTTGTTGTACTTGGAAGGATCTTGCATGAAACCCAAACCTGCATTTCTTTTAGAATTGCTTGTTGCCTTGTCACGTGGGTTGCAAAGTGTTTTGGGGAGTTAGTTTATCTTAGTTTGTATTGACAAAATAACTCTTCTTGCAGGTTAAGCAAGATGAGTTCTTTCCTGCAGACCTATTGTTTCTTGCCAGCACTAATCCTGACGGTGTCTGCTATCTTGAGGTTGTACTTGGTGTGCATGTCAATAATGTTTTTCTTATTGTCATTCCCTTTTCAAAGTAATGTGCATGTCATCATTCCTAAACAAATGTGCTTGTACACATTCTATTTGGGGAGGGATAAACATATTATGAATTTTAAATTCTACTAAACAACACCCAGTACAATCCCTACTTCATTGGGGTTTGAGGGTCAAGATGTAAGCAGCCTTACCTTTGTAAGAAAGAGAGGTGTTTCTGGCTTTCTGCTAGACCCTTGATACATTGTTGCATGTACTATCCAAAACATCATAGAAAGTAAGAAGCAAATGAATTTAAATGTGCGGTTTTGAATTAGGCCATTATTTACCTGAAGATAAAATAATATTGTGAATAATGACTCTTTTAGCTCCATTGGCAATGGACGCAAAAATCTAAATTCTAATGGAACATATATTCTAGACGTAAAAATGATTATGGTTGGCATCTCATCTGTATGTTCTCTCTGTTCTTCCCTCTCACTCCACATTGTAATGCAGACTGCTAATTTAGATGGGGAAACCAATTTGAAGATTAGAAAAGCTTTGGAGAAGACTTGGGATTATGTGACTCCTGAGAAAGCGGCTGAATTTGAAGGTTTTAGCTCTCACCTGCTTTTGTAACAATTTTTATTGTTAATATGTTTCTACATTAAGGGTAAGACTAGATCCACATCCAAAATGACTTTATCCACCTATTTCACCTAAATTTGCTAAATCCGCACCAATATCAAACTTATATTAATAGGTGTGGATTTAGCAAATTTAGGTGAAAGGTGTGGATATAACCATTTTGGGTGTGGATTTAGCAACACCCTTATAACCCCTTGTCTTGAATGACATGCATTCAAGATTCAACTTTTGTAAGTTCCTTTGTTGGCACAACATGTTCATTGGATTAGGCATATGTTTGTCATGGCTATGGTTTGATTCATTATGCATTCGATATTGTTGATGAGCATCATACAATGAAAAAAATAGCTAGAAAGATAAAGGGGTTTTATGGTTATACAGAGTATTAATTAGTGGTTGGATTTAATCTCTTTTTTATTATATATTTTGGTTTGATTCATATGCATTGTAACCTGATTTATTCATGGCCTCTACTTTGACCCATTTTCACATTGCTTTCACCCCATCTTAAATTTTAACATGATGTGAGAGTACTCAATTTTGAATTGTCCACCTTGAGCACATCAAAGAGAGTTATACATAGGAAAGTAGAAAGAGAGATGTTCGTTAAGCTAGATCTTCGTTTGACCTATTTGTATTATAACCCAATGCACGGATACTGGATAGACTCACTTCAACTTGTTCTCTTATTGCCTCTGCCTAATCAGAATTTCTAATGATCATGATGTGGTTAGACCTTAAAACTCAAATTAGCTCAATGAAGCACTTAAATGTTTGAGAGATAAAATCTATGAAATTGGTCTGACCTTATTTTGGTCTATCATCATCTAGTTAAGGACATGCTCTCTTTGGTGATAAAATGTGATCTCGTTTTTGAAGATATGGTTTTTATTTGGTACAAATCTTTGCGGTCCAATTATATGGTCTAAATGTTTGTAGTCTAAACTGCTCTGAATGTTTTTGTTTGGATCTAATCTGCTAAGAATGTTTTTGGTTCAATTTGGTTGCATGTTTATGGTTTGATATGGGCTTCTCTGAATTTTTATGATTTATGTTCTGGTCTAATTAAAGTAAGTATAATTGATAACACAAAAGGATAGTGTATTTTCTTGAACTAAAAGTATAATTTGTCTAGGACAAGCATACTATGTGAATGCTGATAGAGCATACATCTTGTTTATCAAAGCCATGAAAGATCACCCACCTATATGGCTATCATTGCTCCTTCTGTGATTAACTTTTTAGGGTTAACTCTCTTGGTTAAGATATTGTTTTTCCAGTTATTGTGACCAGGATGCATTGATAATGGATTGTTGATGGATCATGGTTATAACACATTACATGTGATCTTTTCAGCATCCTAAATTAGTTGAATTTTTAGCTTGAAAGTGTCATGACATGATACAGCACATTGACAGATGCCTCTGTGAATTGCAGGTGAAATACAATGCGAGGAACCTAATAATTCTTTGTATACCTTTACCGGAAATCTTTTAAGTCAAAAGCAAACGCTTCCACTCAGCCCAAATCAACTTCTTCTAAGGGTGCATTGTTTCTCTACCATGTTTACAGTATCAAGTTTAATTAGATGTTTGCTATGTGCCTAGAGAAGAATTAAAACATTTTCTTATTTACTTGTTCAGAAGAGAGAACATTCAAAAACATTTTATTCATATTGATCATCCCTGAACTACTGCTAATGTTTATGTTTGGTTCCACTGGTCAACATTTTTTTAGTTCTCTGTGTGTATAATGTTACTCTATTTTTAAAAACAGATTTTGGAGTGGTTTATGTGCATGAAGAATAAATTAGCTTTATACTTATACAGGGGTGCAATTTGAGAAACACTGAGTACATTGTGGGTGTGATCATTTTTACTGGGCATGAAACAAAGGTAATGACAATTATAAAGTGTGTCTGTACATATGTACATACACGTGTGTGTGCGTGCGTGCACACACACACATATACATGGAGGGGGGGGGGAGAGAGAGCGAGAGGTTTCAATGATGGTATTCATTTTATAACTAAAGATCACAGGCATTTGATCTTAAATATAACAGTTGATATTCACTAAATCACCCCAGAAGGAAACATTAGAATCCAACTTCGATATTTAACATACCCCTAAGCCCAAACTGGCGTGGACAATGAAATGGGTGGACAAATAGACCAAACCTTCAAACAAACAAACCTCGGTCATACTAGACTTGATATCATATAAAATTGTATCTAGCTCACCCCAAAAGGATCATCGAGAGGGGATGTTTACCTCACACTAATATGTTAGACTCAAACTCCATAAACATGCAGTACCACACTTAATATATAATGCTACATCCATTACATAATTGTCTTAACACGATCGGTGTTCTAAAAAACCATGCCCACCTTTTCTTAGGCCCCTGCCTAGGCACTATGCCTCCCTTAGCCGCCAGTGCGTTTTAGAACACTCAACATGATTTAGTTTACAAGGTTTTTTTCCTGTATTTGACTCTTTTCTTTTTATTGTGTTTTTTTCTATTCCCATATTGACCTAGATTATTCATATTGATTACTTGTCTTTGCTGATTTGTTTACAGGTTATGATGAATGCTATGAAAATTCCTTCTAAACGGAGCACTTTAGAAAAGAAACTCGACAAACTAATTCTCATGCTTTTTTGTGTTTTATTTTGCATGTGTGTCTTGGGATCCATTGCAAGGTTTGATTACTTCTTGAATTCTCCATTTCCTGATACAACAATACCCGGTAAAATCCCATGAAGTGGGGTATTTGGGAGTTTCTGTTCACAGACCTTACCCCTTACCCTTACCTGAATAATAGAGAGGCGAACTCTCCATTTCCTGATGCCTTTTTAAAATTTAACATCCCAGCTTAGCTTTAAATGTACCTCCACATTGACAGTGTTTATTGTTCTAATTTTCAGTGGTGTGTTCATAGACAGCAAGTATATATACTTGCGGTTTGAAAATTATTCTGACCCACAATTCAACCCTTCTAATCGCATTATGGTAAGTTGGTAATGTTCAAGTTGCTTGCAATATTTTCCTTGTCTTGATTATGATGATTTCATGCATGTTGTGCTCAATAACTTAATACTTTTGTTTTTGTTTTTTTGTTATGGTTTTGTTTTTTTCCTGCACAGGTTTCCACTTTGACTATGTTCACTTTAATTACTCTCTATTCACCCATTATTCCAATCTCTCTATATGTTTCTGTTGAGGTATTTTTCCCAATAGCTTATATATCATGTCTTGGCATTATGTTCTGTGAGCAACTTCATCTTCTAGGTAAAACTCTTTTTTTCCCTTTTCAGATGATAAAATTTATCCAATCAAATCAATTTATCAATAATGATATGTCCATGTATCATTCTGAAAGTAATACTCCTGCACAAGCAAGGACATCAAATTTGAATGAGGAACTAGGACAGGTAAAACCTCAGGTTCAGATTATGGGAGATTGTTTTAGAAGAAGCTCCTATCTTTTTCTTCTTCTATTCAAATCTTCTAATGTGTTCGACTACTTGAATGGTGAGTAACTGATTGTAACTTCTCTCTCAATAGGTGGAATACATATTCTCAGACAAAACTGGGACCCTTACTAGAAATATGATGGAGTTTTTTAAGTGTTCAATTGGAGGAGAGATATATGGCACTGGTGTTAGTGAAATTGAGATGGGCACATCACAGAGAAATGGGATGCGGTTGGGGGTAAAATATAGCTTGCATAAATTATGATTAATTTTTATTTTGAAGCCTAATTGTTAAAAGATACAAAATTGACTTATTTCTAGTTGCACTAAAACTCTGTCATGAAATTTCAGCAGATAGAGAGATGTTCTAATGCAGTGAGAGATAGAGGTTTTAATTTTTCTGATCCTAGATTAATGCAAGGTGCTTGGAGAAATGAACCAAATTCTGATGCATGCAAGGTACTTAGTTAGATCATACAAAAATTGTTACTTTCTTGACTTCTCTACATGCATTCCTTTTTCTTCTTCATTTGTAATGACTAATGATGATAACTGATAAACATAGAACTGACCTTATTACATACTTCCTCTGTTTCTCAAAATTTTGCCAACTTTATTTTTTGTTGGTCCAAAAACACATTTAACTTTCCTTTTCAGTAAAAAAAATTGTAATTGATATTGTTTTCTGTTTTTTGAATAAATGTTGGCCACCATGGCAAAGTTTTGAGGGACAGAAGAAACTATCTATCTTGTTGAGTATTAGTGAACTCCTACAATTGATACGTTTTATTTTGAAATTACAACTCAAGCATTTCTAAAGGGTATTACAATTCTTATATAGACAAATAATGATTCTAAACCTAATGAGAATAAGAAGCCTAATCCTTGAAACTAATTAGAATATGAAGCCATAATACTACTAAACTTGGGGTTTATATTTCTTCAATCAAACTTTGGAATTTTAAACTTGAACTAAACTTGATGTGACACTTCAACTTCTCTTGAACTAAACATCACATGAATTTGATTGTGCCTCCTCGGTCATCCTCATCTTGGATTTTAAATTACAACTTAGTATAAACTATAAAATGAAAACTTGAAATTTTCTCTCCCGTTTTCTTTACTTTCTAATCACCCTCTCGTTTTCCCACCACCACCTTCATCATCATAGCTTTTCCCGATTTGCAAGGTAAATCTCATGAGACAATAATGAGTGGAGATGATTGTTATAGTTGTGTCATATTACAAGATCCATATTGTAAATTCAAGACCTACATCATGGGACACATCATTGTAATATCAACCTACAATTTTCTGAAGTCAAGACGACAACAACAACCCAGTAGTATCTTGCAGAGGTAGGGTCCGGGGAGAGTGTGTGTACGCAGATATTACTCCTACTTGGAAGTAGAGAGGCTGTTTCCTAGAGACCCTCAGCTCGAACAACAATTTTCTGAAGTCAAGACAAAAGACACAATCTAGTGTAATTGGCAATCGAAACAGCGGTTTTGACACGTAAGGATAGCCTGGAGGAGTAATAACAGGTGTGCATTTTGTGCAGGAATTCTTCAGATGCCTTGCAATTTGTCACACTGTACTCACTGAAGGTGATGAGTCTCCTGAAAGCATTCGATATCAAGCAGCATCACCTGATGAGGCTGCTCTGGTTTCAGCAGCAAAGAACTTTGGTTTCTTCTTTTACAGGTGTGACTCTTGAACGTCATGAATGCAATTTTATTTCATTCAACAGTGCTTTATATACCTTTATCAAGAGCAAGGCAGTAATACATATCAAATAAAGAAATGAAAGAATTCAAACCTGGTATTAGGCTAGTGGTTGTTTGAGAAGAGGTGTATTATATGTTATAGGTTTTAGTTCTTTCAACCTTATTAGCCTCATTAATATCTTTTCCACAGACGTACTCCTACTATGGTTCATGTACGGGAGTCACACGTCGATGATACAAGGAAAACTCAGGATGTTGCCTATGAGATCCTGAATGTTCTTGAATTCAATAGGTAGGAATTTTGTAAATTTTTGTGAAGTTTGATTTCACATTCAACTACACTTGACGATGATTTTTAACTTTAACTTTATATTCAGTACAAGGAAGCGTCAGTCTGTTGTATGTCGCTATCCTGATGGAAGACTTGTATTATACTGTAAGGTAATGGCTTCTTTTGTATTGGAACGTTACCATGGTAGAAATTGAAAATTCATAAACCTTTGTTTTCTACAGGGTGCAGATACTATAATTTATGAAAGACTGGCATATGGAGATAATGATTTGAAGAGAAGAACGAGGGAACACTTGGAAGAATTTGGAGAAGCTGGACTGCGCACGCTTTGCTTGGCATATAGGAATCTAAGTCCAAATGAATATGAAAGGTGGAATGAAAAATTCATTCAAGCAAAATCTTCTCTCCAAGACCGTGAGAAGAAATTGGATGAGGCATGCAATTTAATTTCCTTTTCTCTTTCATATTTATATCATCATGTGTGATGGTATGCAGTTTGTTTTCATTGAAGAGTGGCTAGAGATCATGGATGAGAATTGTAGCCTAAAATAATGAGTCATTACATCTTTTTATCATCATAGTTAAAAAATCATCTACAAATAGAAGGAAATGTATCATGGACTTAGATGTCAAGGTCCTTTATATTATTATTAAAGTGGTCATCATTCTGGAAAGGAAATGGTGATTCTAATCATTGCTAGAGTTTGCCGGACCAGTTATAAAAACAACAACAATAATAATAGTAATTGCAACCACAACAACGACAATAATAATAATTATAAAATTCATTACCACCAATCATCACCACCACCATCATCATCGTCGTCATCATCAGTGCTTTACAAGTGTAAGGAATCAATAGAGTGTTCTTGGGTCTTGGTTTGGTAAGGATTATATTTTCATCAAACTGCAAGTGGTACTTTTGAGGCTCCAAACTGAATTCATTTTTTTTCCCTGAACATTAGTACTTTATTTGATTCTGATGATAAGGCTACAAACTTTAGACTAAGATATGATGATTTTCTTGCATAATGGATTTTGATTTAATGAATTAAACATCTTCACTATATATCTAATCATTTTAGTCTTGTGCAGGTTGCAGAACTAATAGAAATGGACCTTGTTTTGATTGGATGCACTGCTATTGAAGACAAACTTCAGGAGGGAGTTCCTACTTGCATAGAGACTCTTTCAAGAGCTGGAATCAAAATTTGGGTGCTTACGGGGGACAAGATAGAAACTGCAATAAATATTGCTTTTGGTGTGTATGCCTAAAACATACATCAGTTACACCCTAACACTCCCATGCACATCTCACCTTTTATTTTATTTTTTTGCTACAGCATGCAAATTGATAAACAACAGCATGAAACAATTTGTTATCAGTTCAGAAACCGATGCTATCAGAGAAGTAGAAGATAAAGTAAGCACTATCCATTATTTAATTACTAACATTATTACAAAAAAGTTCACAACATTAACATTTTCTTTTCTTCCTTACCAGGGCGACCAAGTGGAGGTTGCTCGTTTCATAAAAGATACGGTTAAAAATAAACTTAAAAAGTATAATGAGGAAGCCCGACAGTATCTTCGTTCTGAATCTAGACCAAAGTTAGCACTTGTTATTGATGGAAAGTGTTTGATGTATGCGTTAGACCCCAGTGTGCGTGTAATGCTCTTGAACTTGAGCTTGAATTGTAGTGCAGTGGTTTGCTGCCGAGTCTCTCCTTTACAGAAAGCACAGGTGATTTTTAGGTGGTCTCTGTTCATTACTCATAGATGGTGAGATAGATAGTAAAGATTGCTCTTCTGCTTGCAGGTGACTAGATTGGTTAGGAAGGGAGCTCAGAAAATAACACTTAGTATCGGTGATGGGGCTAACGATGTTAGCATGATTCAAGCTGCTCATGTTGGTGTTGGAATAAGTGGACAGGAAGGAATGCAGGCAGTAATGGCCAGTGATTTTGCAATTGCTCAGTTCCGTTATCTCACAGATTTACTGCTTGTCCATGGACGCTGGTCATATCTGAGAATCTGCAAGGTTTATAATTTTTCAGTCTTCTATTCTAGTATTTCATATTTTCAAAACACTTCAGTTCAGAAAACCATGTCCATAAACTTCTTGATGCAGGTTGTTACTTATTTCTTCTACAAGAATCTGACATTTACCTTGACACAATTTTGGTTTACTTTCTATACTGGATTCTCCGGCCAAAGGTTCTATGATGACTGGTTCCAATCCCTCTACAATGTTATCTTTACAGCCATGCCTGTGATTGCACTTGGGCTTTTCGAGAAGGTACTCAAAGTGTTTTATTATTTTGCCATGGCAGCATTACCCGATTTACCCCCTACTATAGAAATGATATTTTCACTCACGTTTTCCCTGGTTTATTAGATACTATTGATGATGATGTAACCCTATTCAATTATTGTAGGATGTCAGTGCCTCCCTTTCCAAGAAATATCCCGAGTTATACATGGAGGGAATTAGAAACACATTTTTCAAATGGCGAGTCGTGGGGGTTTCAGCTTTCTTTGCAGTTAGTCAATCGCTGATACTGTTTCATTTTGTGACTACTTCTAGTACCAAGAGCATGAATTCAGCTGGCAAGACATTTGGCCTGTGGGATGTCAGTACGACGGCCTTCACTTGTGTTGTCGTAACTGTCAATCTGCGTCTCCTAATGATGTGCAACACAATCACAAAGTGGCACCGACTTACTGTTGGTGGAAGCATATTGTTATGGTTCATATTTGCCTTTATATACTCCGGCATTATTTTGCCAAAAGCTCAGGTGAAATTTTACACAATTTTTTCCTTTGTCATACTCGGCCATTTACATGCTGACCCCATCGCATGGTCAACAGATGAACATATATTACGTTGTATATGTCGTCATGAGTACATTTTACTTCTACACCATGCTGCTGCTTGTCCCCGTTGCTGCACTCTTCGGCGACTTCTTATATCAGGGGTAAATTTTTGGATTTATGTCGTGGTTGGTTTTGTTAGAGTATAAAACCTTTCCTGGACCTAAAACCAAAAGTTTGAGCTTGAGCTTTTGGTTGAGTTGGTTCCATGACATGGTATATGACCAAGAGAGGTCACAAGCTCGAACCTCACTGTCACCTAATATTAAAAAAAAAGTATTGTTCACGTGTAAGGCTCGCCTACACGTGAGGGGGGCGTGTTAGAGGATAAAACCTTGCTTGGACCTACAACCAGAAACTTGAGCTTTTGGTTGAGTTGGTTTTTGACAGATTTCACTTAAAATGTATCGTTCTTGTTTGGTAACTTCACAAGGGCTGTGTCATTGTTTGTTCAGGGTTCAAAGATGGCTGTTCCCCTATGATTATCAGATTATTCAGGAAATTCACAAGGATGATGTTGAAGGACTGGATATGGGACTGCTGGAGGTTGGAAATGATGAGCTCACGCCCGACGAGGCAAGGAGCCACGCGATGATGCAACTCCCAGGACAGAGAGCAAAGCACACAGGTTTCGCTTTTGATTCGCCCAGTTACGAGTCGTTTTTCGCGTCCCAGGCTGGGGTCTCAGCCCCTCACAAAGCCTGGGACATTGCTCGCCGAGCTAGCATGAAGAGGTTTCGTGCAAAAGGTCACCGGAAGAGCTGAATTCATATCATTCGGCGAAAAAAAGGAGAAAAAATTAGAAAATCTTTTACTTCTCTTTCAAGCATGGGATGGAAACCTTTACCAGGGCCAGGGATGTATGTCAAATTTCGGTGTATGTGTGCCATATTCTCAATTTTTTTCCATGGTCATTGCTTTCTTAGAGCTTGTTCTCTTCGATCAACTTATTCTGATTGGAATCAGATCAGTAACAACATTTAATATATAACTACAATCAGATCAGAACTTATTCTAATCATATCAGAACCAACCCGATCAAGTGAAGAGAACAAGTCCTTAATGTAATATATATATATATCTTTTCTCCCCTACCACTCACTCACTAAAAGCTACTACGTAGCATGTTACCGAGAGAGCCATGATTAAAAAATAAAAATAATGAAAAAGAAGAAAAAAGTACTTGAGGTCGTCATCTCATGACATTACTTTCCAATGTCAAGGGAACGATAGTATTGTTTAAAGTATATGTTGACTTGTTTGGGTGTTTTAGCAATGCTTAGAAACGGCTAGGGGTTGATTGACTTGGCAAGTAAAACCGAGTTTAAACAAAAAAAAAAGGATACATTCTTATAAACTTGAGAATTTTTGTGGACAATGCTTCGGACCACTGCCGTTACAGATTTAATAATTTGGAAATTCGACAGTGCCAGTCAGTACTTGTTGGTACAATCCAACAAGCTAAATATGGTATTCGTAGTAACACGATCGTTTGCCAAATTTATTGACCTAGAATCGAACGATAGTAGGATTTGTAAAGGGTATATATATGTAGTTTTAACCCCTACTTGAAATTAGAGGTTATTTTCAAGAAGCTCTTGCCTCGAGCAACATAGAAAGTATATGGTTCGGTTAAACTCTATAATCTACTCCAAGATTTTTATAGGATAATTACCTCAGCTCATAAACTTTAATATAAGGTCAGTAAAGATATTGTGTTACTTAGGGGTGGGCACGGGCCGGTCCGAGTCCAAATTTATATAAACCGGACTCGGCTTGTTTTTATTAAAACGGTCCGGGCCGGAACGGGTTTTCAAAATTTTAAAATTGGAACTGGACCTAACCCGGCTTGTTTGAAACGGGCCGATTCCACGGGTCAACGGGTCCGAACCTGTCATAATACTAACATTCTTCAAAACAAATAGAAATTATAGAATAATGCCTTTAAAGTTCAAAAAAGAGGAATAAATGAAAAAAACAATGACAAAGAGGGGCATGAGAGTAAAGTGTACACCCCATGATCATCCAACAACAACAAAAAGAAGACAACCACATTTTGGCATTATAATGTCAATAGGTTTCAAAAAGAGCAAAATTGACAATTTTCATGGCTTCCAAAAAATCCAAAAAACCTGCAAAAAACAAAATTTTAAAATCAACCATATTCCACACACAAAAATATGCAAATGACTTTTGATTCAATAATACACTTTTTTCTAATTCAGTGGAAATTAGCTTCATTTATTGAACATGACTTATGCACTTCTGTGGTTCTGCACTGTGATTGGAATATGGAAGGACCGAAAGAGTTACTAAAATTAATTGGAATAGGCGGATATACCGTATATTTACTAAAAAAATATTAAAAATAATATTAGTATTTAAAAAACGGTCCGGTCCGGGTCCCAAACAATTTCAAAATGAGGAACCGGACCGACCCTAAAATATATAGGAACCGGACCGACCCGGACCGTTTGAAATTTTTGAAAAGACGACCCGGACCTAACTCGGTCCGAACTTGGCGGTTCGGTTCCGACCCGCGGTTCCTGGACCCGAATGCCCACCCCTAGTGTTACTTTGTCAAGTTTTTAATTTAATATATGTGCACTTTTTTTCTGGAATAAAAAATACGGAGTATATGCTAAATAAATTTAAAGTGATGTGTACGTAGAAGTTGTGAATGTAATGATAAAAATGTTCAAAGCAAAAGAAAGAAATGGCACGCATACAAAGAGCTTCATTCGTAGCTACCTCATCACTCACACTATATATATCAGAGTATAAAGCAATGTGTCTCCCCTTATCACTTTTTTTAACATCTTCTCTCTTTTTTTTTGCCTTATAAAGATGTAATAATCTACTCAATAAGTACAAAATCCATTAAAGAACATCATATCATAAAATTTCTTCATGGACAAATGTAATTGGGTTTTGTATTTTTCGTATATATTACTTCTTTTGTCACAATTTAAATTATCTGTTTATAGTAGACCTTTATTCACTTTATTCATTTTTGTTACTAGCTAGTTTGATAAAATGATACAGTCATGTCACTTGTTATTTTTTTAGAATTTTGATGTATTTTTTAAATATATGGATTTTATTTTTTAATTCTACCCTAATTTTCATTCATATAAATCTATTTAAAAGTTTTAGTCAAATATCGTAAAAAATAGGCATGTGATAGAAGGAGTAACAATGAATTTTTCATATATAATTTCCAATTTTAAGATGCTACATTCATGGTTTTCAATATTCGAGAGCAATTTGTGGACTATATGTGGAAAATAATATTTGGGCCAAATGATTACTTTTGAAATGATTTTCAAATACAGAGGACTACGAAGGTAATGTCTTAGAGTTGGAGAGTAGACATAAAAATTCATTTGTTATGAAGGATCATTTATGAAATTTTACTAATTAATTTATAAGGAAATTGTTGAGAATTTTAAATTTAATTGTATGCAATGGTTTCCTCCCCAAAAAAAGATTGTATGTAATGATACTTCCTCCATCGAATGTATATGTTCAGTTTTTTAATTTGAATGTCTCATTCAAATTGTTCACTTTTTCTTGGAAAAGTTTTGGTCCTTTTACTTTGCCAAGTTCGTCTTTATTTATTCACTCCCACAAGAAGTACGAATAAGCTTAGTGGTGTGACTACTTCCTCCCTCTCAAAAAAATTGATGTTTACTATGGTTACATTTATATAGTTTTGTCTTTAACTTTATACAAATTTTTATATAAATTAGTTTAAAAATAACTTCAGTCAAATAATATCACAAATTTGAGTCATCTTAATTATATCTTTCTTCTTCTTTCCTCAAATAAAAACACCATTCATTTTATATAATTAAAAGATTATTTTACCCTTTTGCCTACTTGCCTTATTATTAAAACAAATAATACTCCGTATGACGGAGTAACTTTTATATTTTAAATAATTATATACTCCACACATACACACTCCATCCGCGTCTAGATTTAATCATTTCATTTGTCTTTTTGCGGTTTTCAATGTAACACTTTGATTATTAATATCAATATTTATACATGGATATACATTAGAAAACATTACTATCTCAAAACTACGTTTCAAATGTATTTTTAAACATAACGTATTTTTTTATATATATCCAGGTCAAAGTTTATAAATTTTAACTAAAAAATCAAATGAGAATATTAAATACACACAAAAGGAGTAATTAAATAAACGTTTGGCACACAAAGGGAACACTTAAAAAAGGAAAATGGAGGGAGAATACATTAAATTAAAGGAGTGTGCCAATGATGAATTGAACCATCTCTATATATAGCCCATCCATGTCTTACTAAAAAATTTGTATTGCCCATCTTCCCATATATCTATATCCTTCTCTACACATATATAAATAGTAATATTACTTGTCTACCAAATAAAAGAAAAGATATTCACATATATAGAGAGAATTTTATAAAATAAATTACTATATATAACTATTTTCTTGGAGGCAATTTAAATTACTATATTTAGTTTGTGTAAAAGTAAATTAATTATGGCTTGGAAGGTCTCCTTTTATAGCTCACTAATTTTGATAGGAGTTATAACGTCATCGTTGTTGCTACTATTCGTCGTTGCTAATAATAATAGTATCGACGGCACAACAGCTGCAACGACAATGAAAAATTCTCATCTTCCGCGGCAGCCGCCGCCTTCGGCCGGCGGTGGAGGAGGAGGAAGCCGCCGGAGCATGAAGCATACAAAGGAGCAGCATGCAGATCTCAACTTCATGAGCAAAAGGAAAGTGCCAAATGGACCTGACCCTGTTCATAACCGGTTAGTTGATTTATTTTTACCTTTTTTTTGTGGTTTTTTTATTTGGTTTGATTTGCATAACATTATACTTCATCCGTTCTATATTAATTACCCATTATGATTTTTTAGTTGAATTCAAAAGTTAATAAACATAGACATAAAGTGTATATTTCATTTATTTTTCAATGTATCTAAAAAATTATTAGTTGCGTTCTTGTGGTCTTAAGATTCACATGTGAAATGCGGACCTTCTCGCATACGTAGTATTTTTTATGGCTCGTTGTTGGATCTTTTTCGTTTTACAAGACCCAATATATTTAATCTTTGTTTTACAAAAATTCATTATACAGTTAATATGGAATAAAAGGAGTAACATTTACATTAATTATTTCAACTCTCGTCAACCTATACTACAAATCCTAAATATACTCCTTCCGACCATGAATAATGTTAAATAAAGTGATTGGTGTAGATAAAATATGATCATTTGATAACTAATCATTAAAAGTAGACGGATAATTAATTTGATATCTAAGACAAACCTTTTTATTACCGTAAAATGAAATGAATTTTTTTATAGACAAACTAGAAAATAAAGTGAGAAGAAATGGAGAGAATAAGTTCGAATACGTACTCCATTATCTCTCCCTAATAGAATATCAAATTTTTAGCTTTTTATAATTACATTCCATAGTAATTACGGAGTACTTTATAATCCTATTTATTGCACCCTTTAAACTTAGAATTACATGTTCCAAGAATAATAGCCAATGAAAGAAATTGATATTCCAGTCTCTAAAAAAAAACTTCTTGTTTCATTTTCCGTGCACATCCTCAAATACACTTTTGTCTATATTTATGTTTTATTTTTGTATCCTCAAGAATAATTTTTTATTCTATCTATATTTCTATTTTATTTTTTGTGCATCCATGAAACACATTTACCTTACCTCAAACTTCTAAGATACTCTCAAAAGAACTTCCGCTCGCATTAAAAGAGAAACGGGTGAATTTTAGACATTATAGATGTCGGCGGAAGTGTTGTATGAGTCGATGTGCGAAAAATGAAAAGAGATCATCTTTTTGAAACAAAGAGAGTACGTTTTTAGGAACATGGGAGTATTAATTTATGACCCCGTTTGGTACACGGAATTCAAACTATGAAATTAGAATTGGGGACTCCAATTCCAATTCTGGTGTTTGGTAG